CTGCCTTGTCCCCTAGCCATCAGCCCCTCGGCACTAAGCACATTCACATTGCTGTGCAGCCATCACACTTTCTATCCACAGAACTCTGTCGTCTTGAGAAACACACTGTGTCCATTAACTATCCACTATGCCCCCTGTATTTCCTGCCTGTAAATTTGAGTCCCCTATGTGAACAAGTCAGACAGGTGGTGTCCTTTCGTGGCTGGGTGAGGTGAATGTGGATGTGCCACTCGCCGCCCACTTCACCCACAGCCAGTGTGCGACAATGCCCTTCTCATGGCCCACGCCACGGGAGGCTCAGGAGCGGCCAGCCCCGCCACCGCAGGTCTCAGAGCCCAGGCCCAAACCGCTGGACCCCGAGGCGTGCCCTTGACACTCTTCAAATCCGGAGGAGGCTGCTTCACTGGCAAGGGTGATGCTGGCCCGGTGTCCACTCGGGATGCCCCGTGTGGACACTCACCCGAGGCCTGGGTGACCCCGGCTCCTGGGGGCTTGCGGGGTGGGAGAGTGCAGTGTGCAAGGGCAGTGGAGCCTGTGTCAGCAGGGTGGGGTTATAGTCTGGGATCTGCTTTGGGCAGGCCCTGCCCCAGGGAGCCACCCTGTCTGGACTGGGAGGCAGCCCTCCCTGTGTGAGCCCCCAGGTCTGGAACAGGTTCCACTGTGAACAGGGTAGCTGTGGGTGCTGTGAGCAGGGTGGCTGTGGGTACTATGAGCAGGGTGGTTATGGGTGCTGTGAGCAGGGTGGCTGTGGGTGCTGTGGGCAGGGTGGCTGTGGGTGCTGTGGGCAGGGTGGTTATGGGTGCTGTGAGCAGGGTGGTTGTGGGTGCTGTGAGCAGGGTGGCTGTGGGTGCTGTGAGCAGGGTGGCTGTGGGTGCTGTGGGCAGGGTGGCTGTGGGTGCTGTGAGCAGGGTGGCTTTGGGTGCTGTGGGCAGGGTGGCTGTGGGTGCTGTGAGTAGGGTGGTTGTGGGTGCTGTGGGCAGGGTGGCTGTGGGTGCTGTGGGCAGGGTGGCTGTGGGTGCTGTGGGCAGGGTAGCTGTGAGTGCTGTGAGCAGGGTGGCTGTGGGTGTTGTGGGCAGGGTAGCTGTGAGTGCTGTGAGCAGGGTGGCTGTGGGTGCTGTGGGCAGGGTGGTTATGGGTGCTATGGGCAGGGTGGCTGTGGGTGCTGTGAGCAGGGTGGCCGTGGGTGCTGCTGGAGTGGCTGTGGGTGCTGTGAGCAGGGTGGCTGTGGGTGCTGTGGGCAGGGTGGCTGTGGGTGCTGTGGGCAGGGTGGCTGTGGGTGCTGTGGGCAGGGTGGCTGTGGGGTGGCCGTTGGTGCTGTGGGCAGGGTGGCTGTGGGTGCTATGGGCAGGGTGGCTGTGGGTGCTGTGAGCAGGGTGGCCGTGGGTGCTATGGGCAGGGTGGCTGTGGGTGCTGTGAGCAGGGTGGCCGTGGGTGCTGTGGGCAGGGTGGCTGTGGGTGCTGTGGGCAGGGTGGCCGTGGGTGCTGTGAGCAGGGTGGCCGTGGGTGCTGTGGGCAGGGTGGCTTTGGGTGCTGTGGGCAGGATGGCTGTGGGTGCTGTGGGCAGGGTGGCCGTGGGTGCTGTGAGCAGGGTGGCTGTGGGTGCTGTGGGCAGGGTGGCTTTGGGTGCTGTGGGCAGGATGGCTGTGGGTGCTGTGGGCAGGGTGGCCGTGGGTGCTGTG